CCAAAGCACCATCTGATACATTTGGGGCTCTGTGTGGATCCTAATGGTTCTTCCTCCTCCTTCTCTTTCTAAGCTGTCACTGCCCCAGCCTGTGTATCTCTGCCACACAGTGATTTTGTTTGATCTGTTCTCTCCTCAAATCCCACACGGCCATGCAAAATCTATTTCCTCTGTGATGGATTTCTAAGGAGGGCCACAGTCTGGATAGACATCTGAGTGCCCCAAGCCCCAGGTGTGACTGACGCAGGAGCTAGACTAAGATCTATCAGAGAATGGAGAAATGCTTCAGAGAAAGTCAAGTGTAAGACTTGGCTTGAAGCACATATAAGATGCCACAGAAATTTGGACATGTTGGGATAGGTATTCCAAGCATATCTCAGGAGTGTTTGGGAAAGACCAGAGTCTAGGTTGTTGTTGTTGGTTTGTTTTTTGTTTTGTTTTTGTCTTTTAGAGACAGGGTCTCCCTGTAGCTCCAGCTGCCCTGGAATTCACTATGTAGACCAGGCTGGCCTTGAACTCACAGAGATCTGCCTGCCTCTGCCTCCCAAGTGCTGGGATTAAAGGAGTGCACCACCACGCCTGGCCAGAGTCTAGTTTTTGTTGATTGTGTAGCTATGGACAATGAAGAACCAGTCTAGAAATTTGGACAAAACCCACAGGATGAGATGGGATCCTGGGGTGATGGGTAGAGATGTCCTCACCTGATTTAGTAGGTACTTTGAGGTCCTGGAAAGCTAAGGAGCAAGGGAAGCCATTGGTCAGGAGCATGGTTTGAGCTCCAAAAAGAAGAATCTGGCAAATATGTGCAGGATGGTTTAAAGACAAACATGACAAGGGGTCAGAGGACCAGTTAGGAGGCCAGGACAACAAACTGGGCAGCAGACTATGAGAGTGAGGTCCTGGAAGAGGACCGAGACCTAGGTGGGACAGAGTCCACAGAACTTGAAACACCAGAATCCTGAGGGACAGAGAAGCTGGGCTATGGAGGATTCCCTTGAGGATGCTCTTCCAGGAAGGTCTCCAGGAGAATGGGGTAGCCTTTGCAGAATCGGGGAAGGCAAAGCTGATTTGCAGAAAGATAGGTTGGCTGCCTGCCCCAGGCCTCTCCACCTCCTACCACTGCTCCCAGAATAGTCTGTCAGTCAGCCGTCCCTGTACAGCTTTGTCAATACCTAGAACATTCTTCTACCCATGTTCCTGCTATTTCTCACCATGCTGACTCCTAGCTTGTCTATGGTTCTCAGCTCCAGCATCTCCTCTTCCTGGAAGTGGTCTTGAGTCCTGGCCTCCCCTAACTTAGTGGACAGCCCTCATTTCCCTCTCATAACTGTACCTAGCTACACCCTGACAATATGCCGGGCAGGCAGCAATGACTGCTACACCACTGTTCCGCATGAAGAACAGTGGTCCATTTATCCAGCAAGGACACAACAAGGTTTATCCTACTATATTCCAACTCCTACATGTGGGGAATGTTCTGTGGAGCAGTTCCTGCTCCCAAGGGATGTGTGGTTAAGGAAGGAAGGGAATGACCAGTTAACAGAGACTGCCCATACCCTAAAGGCTATCTCCTCCCTTTTGATATCCCTCTGCCTCTCCCTCTCCCTCTCCCTCTTCTTCCCCCTCCCTTCTTCCCTCCCTCAATTCCTCCCTCCCAGCAAGGCCAGACACAGAGAAGACTCTACATAATACTAACCCAGCTAAGAGAGGATATGATGATTTTGAAATGTAATGGGAAATCTGGAAGGCATCCAGAGGGTGAGGAGCACAGGAGAGAGGACTGAGAAGAGGAGACTGCTGGAATTCTACCCTCTTGTCTGTAAGTTCCATGAGTTGTATTAAACCTGGTGTGCAGTATACATGAGGGGCCTGGAGCTCACAGGAACCAGGAAGAGGAGGACGCTTCCCTCATCATTGCCTTGGTGCCAACCCCACCCAAACTCAGAGAAGATAACCCTCAGCACAGGAAGCTGCTCCCACGCAGAACCTATCCTGTTTCAGAAAGGAGGACACCTGCTTCCCTGCTCCCTACAGCCCTCAGCTGAGCAGTAGATGCTAACACTATGGAATGTTCTTGTTCCAGACAGCACCAGAGTCCACCAAGAGGAGGTAGGTTGCCACCATGCACCATTCTAGATGGGTACGACCAGCAAGTCATACCTCCAGGCTCCGGACTCAGTGATGTTTTCTTGGAATTCAGTGCAAGACTTCAGCTCTATCTGAACACCTATAGCACTGAGAAAATCAAACATAGATCTGACAGTGATAGTCAAAGTGAGAGTGAATGCTCCCAGGGGAGTGTCTCTCCACATTGGCCAACCCTCAGGAGCTCCCTCTGGCTCTCTGACAGAAGTCAGCCTGGCCAGGTAAGGGTACCTTCTCTCTCCCTCTCACACTTGAAAGGCACCTTACAAGTTCTTCGGAGAGATCACTGCTATGGCTTCCAGTTGTCTGAAAACAATTGCAGGAAGATGAGCTCTCCTCATCAAATTGGGTTTGAGAATTTCTGGATTCCCCTCTAAGCCCTTTCCCTATCCCATCTCCAACCCCAAAGGTCCTGTGACCTCCATCTCAAGCTCCATTGACACATGCATCACCTACAGTCTAGTCTAACAGCTGAATGAGAGCAGGGACCACCCACCCACCATGTGGTTGTGCTCACTGCTGCAGCCCCAGCATCTAGCACATCACCTGCAGGTTAGGCTCAGAGTGAGCTTCAGCACACTTGGGTTGGGCCCTTCTCCTGTGTAAGATACACAGTCCAGCAGGATGTGTTTCCTACCTGCAGATCCACCTCTCTTCTTCAAAACTTGCCATGAGCATGGGCTGATCTCTCCTCTTGTTGACTCTCTTCCCCCATCCCTGACACCCCAGCATGCCCTGCCTCCTCTAGGAAGTTTCTAGGAACATTGGGACCATTACAAAGAATTTTGAATGGCATGGCTTCTCTAGCAACCTGCAATTAAAGCCACCCAAATTACCAATGCCTTTGTTTCAGACAGCCAGGGATGACAAGGGAAGCTTCATCCTCATTAAAAAATGTGTGTGCAGCCCCGGTATATAGCTTAGTGGGAGAACACTTCCCTACCATACATGAAGCCCTAAGTTCAATTCCTAGCACTGCAAAAAGAAAAATCTTTTTACATAATTTCTTTTAAAAAGCATCTGTGCCCATTGTGTGGCACCAGTCACAGTGGTTAAGAAGCAAGCTATTGGGGCTGAAGAGATGGCTTAGAGGTTAAGAGTACTTGCTATGTAACCATGAGGACCTAAATTCAGATTTCAGAGCCTACATAACAAGTCAGACATACTCTCTTGCATGCCTGTAACCCCATTGTTGTGGGAGGCTGAGACAGGAGGATTACTGTGGCTTGCTGGCTGCCAGCCTTGGCTAAAAAGCAAAAAGTGCACATTCTGGGCTGGAGAGATGACTCAGCAGTTAATGACACTGGCTGCTCTTGTAGAGGACCCAGGTTCCCAGCACCTACATGGCAGCTAACAACTGTCTGTAACTCCAGTTCCAGGAGATCTGACTGTCTCTTCTGACCTCCATGGTCATTGCATGACACATGTACATTTACATATATGCAGGCAATACACTCAAACACATCAAATAAAAATAATAGCTAAAATATTAAAAAGTACACGTTCTAGGTTCAGGGAGATACCCTGCCTCAAAGGAATAAGAGGGAAAGTGACAAAGGATGACATTCAGTGCCCTCTTCTGGCCTGTGTGTACATAGAAGTGTGAGCATAACACGTGCATATACCACACACACACGCATACACCATGAGGAACTAGGGCACATCAATTATACCATAAAAAAAGAAGCCGGCTACTGTTTGCTTTCTGGTGATGTTGCAGAATGTTCTTCATCTCTTTGACCTCAGTTTCCTCACCTATAAAATGGGGTAATATTAAGAATTCCTGTCCCATTGTGATGCTATATAGATTTTTTTAATTTTGTTATTTATTATGACTCTGTGTGTACATGCGTGAGTGAGTGCAAGAACACACATGCCACAGCACATATGTGGAGGTAGAAGATCAGATCAAACTCAGGTTATCAGGCTTGCATAGCAAGTGCTGATACCCAGTGAACCATTTTGCTGACCCATTATGTGGATTTTAGGTGAAATAATCTAAAGTGTGTGTGCAATAAAAATTAACCTTTATTGTTATTGTCTTTAATGGCAGTTCAGTTCTCCATCAGCCAGTATGGTGGCACATACCTGCAACCCAGCACTCAGCAGGCTAAGGCAGTTAGGCAGCAAGCTCAAAGCCAGCTGAGGCTATATAGGTAGTTCCAGCCTAGCTTGGGCTGCATAATAAGAACTTGTCACAAGGAAGGATGGGGAAGGGAGGGAGAGAAAGAGCAGGCTCTTCAGAGATTAGATGTTTGCCCTAATATCTCTCTCTCTCTCTCTCTCTCTCTCTCTCTCTCTCTCTCTCTCCAATTTCAAGTAGTATATTTAGATTTCACTCACTCCTATCACCAGGAGGCTCCTCCCTACCTCTTTGTGGAAACACTCCTGTCGAGTCCCACCATCTCATCCCTTACCCATAAAAATTATCAAATCCACACCTTCAGGTGCTGTGTGATAATGGGAATAGCTCTAAGCTTGGTGCCTCAACACAACAAAGGCTGAGTTTTCACTCGTCCTCCGTGTGAGTCAAGGGCTGGTGGTGTTCTGCTCCACAAAAACATTCAGGGACTCAGGCCCTATCTTGGCTACTACATCACCTTGCAGGGCCTTGGAGTCCCATCAGGTGACCTCCATATCCAGGCAGGATATCCAGGCAGGAGAGGGAGAGAGAGAGAGAGAGAGAGAGAGAGAGAGAGAGAGAGAGACTCACAGAGCAGGTTCATTTACTTTGTCCATCTTCTAATAGCACAACTCAGTCCCAGGACCCTACCTAACTGTGACATAATCTCAAGAATTATTGTCTTTCCAAGTGACCAAGAGAAAAATGAACTCCATTTGATGAACATACTGCATTTTTTTTTTTTTTTTTTTTTTTTTTTTGCTGCTGCCTACCCTGGAAGCAGATTTCCCTCTTGGAGAGAACTAGAAGCTATTCTTCTGGGAATGTTCTCAGGAAATATGCTCCATGTGTTTCAACTCAAATCCTGTGACAAGTAGCATCCTGTCCCACCAGAACAGCAGATGTGGAAGAAAGAAGGTCATCTTCAATGGGACAGAGATGGGTTCAACACTCAGCCTTGCCGTGTCTTTTGAAAACTCGGCCTCACAGTGAGCTTCATCATTTCCAAGATGGAATTGGGAACATGAGGGTCTGTGAATTGGAGACAGCACAAATAAAGGATGGGTAGAGAGGGATTTTCCTTACCCCTCCTCCAGTTCTCCATCCCCCAACCACACCATACCATCACCCCTCCAAGCCCACAGGCAAAGTCATAGTCAAGGCTGCTAGAAGGACATCAGTCTCCTGACTTCAGTGAGCACTCTGGTTTGTTTTCCAGGCAACCTGCTGACTGACTCAGCCCTGACAATGGACTGGAAGAGCAAGGTCAGCACAGTCTGTTAACGTCATAAAGCAAATGAAAATATCCCCGTACCCAGCTTCCGATCCACCCCAACTCATGCCAGTTTGATCCTTCCCATTCTTGGACCCGGCACCGGGTGCACTCCCCCACACTGCATCCTCAGCTCATCCAGATGGTCTGTGGATGCTGGGAGCCAACAATTATGGGAAATTCGTTGTTTCATAATCTCCTACAGACTGTCCCTAATTGCAAACCCACTGAGGACATATTCTGAAACAAAAGACTGTTCCTAATCAAACAGAAACAAGGGCTTCAGCTTCTCTCTCTTCTACTCCTCACTGTCCCTCACTCACCTTGCTGTGAAGCAGTCGCTGGGGAAACAAAAGGTGACGCCCACCTGCGCACCCCTGGAAATGCCACCAGTCACCTACATGCTGCTCGGAAAGCAGGGGAGTCATTGTTCTCCTAGCAACATGAACCACCCCAGCTGTACGTATCTGGTGCTTGGATCCTGCGAGCCAGCAGCCGAGGGCGTGCATGTTGCTAGGAGAATCTGAACTTGAGTTTAAATTTGCAACCTTTTCCGCTGCCACGGCTTTCCTTCAGCTGAAAACAGACACACACTCAGTTGCAGGATCCAGGGGCTGAGTCCAACCAGGAAATCCCCAGCTTTACATGGAACTACCGGAACTACCACTTCTGCACTATTTTTTTTCCTTTTCCTTTTATTTTTGCCCCCTTATCCCTTGAATTTTAAATTGAGTCTATCAACACATTCAGACAAGAATTACAAAGATCTTTGCATTGAACTGAGAACCTAATTCTTGCCAGGCACTGTCCTTGACACTGTAAACTGCTGCAAAAGAAATAAGTGAACACCCCACCCTGGAGAGACCCCCTCCAAGAAGAGGAAGAGTGACAAGCTCATCAACAGAGCCCCTGTCAGTCAGGGTTCTCCAGACTGGAACCAGCAGGAAGGAGCTAGATTACACAGAGAGGCATATGATACATAGATAAATCAAGATATAGACATATGGGGCTGGGGAGATGGCTCGGTTGGTAAACTGCTTGCTGCACAAGCATGAGAAACTGAATTCAGTTCCCAGCACACACATGAAAAGCAGGTCTGGTAGTGCATTTGCAATCCCGGCACTGAGAAAGTGGAGACAGAGGATCCATTGGGCTCACTTGCTAGTTGACCTAGCCTCATCTGCCAACTCCAGGTCCCAGCAAGAGACCCTGTGTCAAAAGATAAAGTGATGGCTCCTAAGGAATGACACCTGAGGTTGGCTTCTAGCCTACACCACACACACACATACACACGCACGCACGCACACACACACATACACACACACACATGGGGGGGGATGCATATTGCTTATATATAAAGAGGTTTATTTCAATGAATTGTTTGCACATTTTGGGGCTTGGAAACTCTCTAAAATCCATGGAGCAGACTGGCAGCCTAGAAGTTCATGCAGACATTGAGGCTGCAGTTTTAGGGCAGAATTCTTCCATACAGAAAATTCTCTTAAGGCCTCTCAGATGATTTCCACCCGTCACCCAGCTAGTGGCCAGAACATGAGACTCTTAGACAAGATTCACTCAGGGCAATCTCTTTTCATTAAAGTCAACTTATAGCAGGTTTCTACCACCTGTATTAAAAAATATCTCCACATGGCTGGAAGATGGCTCAGTGGGTAATCGCTTGTTGCACAAGCCTGACAGCCTGAGTTCAAAGGCCCAGAACCCACAAAAAAGGTAGCATAGTAGTACAAGTGGCTGTAATCCCAGCACAGCACGCCTCTACCAGGAGATGGTTGGTAAAGATGAGAGAGTTTCCAGAAGATCACAGGCCAGGTAGCCTACACAGCACTGAATAACGAGAGACCCTGTCTCCAAACAAGACAGAAGGTGAGGACCAACACCCAAGATTGTCCTCTGACCTATACATGCATGCTGTGGCACAGCGTGTCTGTACACACACACACACACACACACACACACACACACACATTTTAAAACTACCTCCACAGCAACACTAGTGTTTGAATGAATAACTGGGTTTTATAGCCTATGGTTTAAATTTACCATAGCAAATACATACATGCTGTGTAGAGCAGCAATAAGTAGAGAAAAAGAAAGCAGGGTAAAAGGGGCAGTTCTGTGGTTTAAAGGTCTCCATCAAAGTTCCTGTTGAAACTTAATCCACATTGTGAGGGGCAATGAGGTGAAGACTTGCTCTGACTGGGGTGTTTGGAGGTGGGATGACCAGGAAACATATTAGTTACTACTCTCCGTTGCTCTGACAAAAGCAACTTAAGGAAAGGTTCATTTTGGCTCAAGGTTTGAAGGTACAGTCCACCATGGCAGAGATGGCATGGTTAGAGTATGAGGTGGCAGGTCACATCACATCTGCAGTCAGGAAGCAGAAGTGGAATGTTAGTTTCAGCATGCTTCCTCTTTTTTTTCAGTCAAGGATCAAAGTTCATGGGATGATGGTGTCCACACTCAAGGTGGGTCTTCCCTCCTCTGTATCATCTTTGGAAATACACTCACAGACATGCCAGAGGTTTGTCTCCTAGGTGATTCTAAATCTCCTCAAAATGATAGTCAAGATTAGCCATCACAGTGGGTAGGTAATCAAGGTTAAATGACATCATAACAGTGGGGCCCTAACTTATCGGACTGTGGCTTTATGGTATAAGGAAAAGAGGCCTGAGCCAGGACACTGTGGTCATGTGATGCCTTGTGCTTCCTGAGACTCAGAGGCAGCCACTCCATATTGAATGACCCAGCCTTCAAACCCATGGTAAATTTTGGTCACATTGATTAAAAAAAAAAATACTTCCACAGCAAGACTAGGTTAGTGTAGTACTCAGTAGTAACAATAGAAACTGAACTAAGCCAGACTTCAAGCCCAGTGAGGGGAACAGGTGACTCTCCTATGTGTCACTCAGTAAAAACTTGAATTAAGACTAATAAAGGAACTTAGCTAGGCACCACAGAAGCCCTCCACTCATTAAAGATCAGCCTAATCATGACTGTGCTGCACTGTCTCAAGGACAGGAGACAGGCTTCCTTCAGCTGTTTCTTGACACTGCCTGGGCAAGCTTTGCAACCTCCTCTCATTCCTTCAGAAGTGGATCCTACAGCAACAGCCTCCCAGAGGATTCCTGTCCCTGCACTTGCTCTCTCCACCCTCTGCTCCCTCCCTCAGTGGTCCCTGCCCTCCCCACACTGGCTGCATCTTTTGTCTCCTAGCCTTAGTGTCTGCACTGTCCCCTCAGGCCAGCTGCAGCCTCACCATTCCCAGTGCTCCCTCAAGCTCCTCAAGAGCCTCAGTCCTCCAGGCTCTCCTCCTGGCCACTTGTTCTCTCCCTACATCACGCTCAGAAAAATAATCTTAGTACCACATAAAACAACATCCTCTCCACCATTCGGACCCCATCCCATCTTTTGTTTTCCCAGCTCCTAAGTGAAATTTCTACTCCTTCGTTGATTATCTCCTGTCACCTGAAGACAAGGGTAAGGACACTAGTTTGTTGATTTTTTAAATTATAGTGTGGTGGTTTGAATGAGCATGTCCCCCATAGGTTCCAAGTATTTAGGCATTTTGTCCCCATTTGGTAGCACTGCTTTAGGAGGTCTTAGAAGGTGTGGCCATGCTGTAAGAAGCATGTCACTGGGTACAGGCTTAGGGAGTTTTTAAGCCTTGTCAGATATTGAATCGTTCTCTTGTTTCCTGTGCCTGCTTGAAGATGTGAGAGCTTAGCTTCTGCTCCTACTCCAGCCACGTGTGCTGCCATGCCACCCCACCATGATGGACTGACTCTTGCTCCTTTAGAACCATAAGCTAAATAAACTCTTCCTTTTATAAGTTCCCTTGGTCATGCTGTTTCTATCATAGCAACAGAAAAGTGACTAATACATATAGTAAAACAACATAAAATTTGCCATCTTATATTTTCTTAAGGGGTATAGCCACCAGTAAATAAATAGCACACCCTCCCCATGCTCATGCAAGCAACCCTCATCAAACTTGGTGGATCACAAAAATAAAAGACATAAAAGTGGATGAGTGACTAGTTAGAAAGAGGTCAGCAAAGGTGGGGTGGGGAGGGGGACAAGAGAAGGTTAGGGGAGTCAGTATGGCTGTAGTCGTTACTTTCTCGCTGCTGTGACCAAATACATGACACAATTTAAGAAAAGAAGGGCTTATTTTGGTTTGTATGTCTAAGAGGATATGGTCCATCATGGCAGGGAAGCCCAGACAGCAGGAGTGGGATGCAGCTGGTCACTTTGCATCAGCAGTTAGGAAGAAAGAGTACCAGACACTAGTGCTCAGCACTTTCTCCTTTTGATTCTGTAGGGTCCCAACCCCATGGAATGGTACTGCCCACAATTAAGAAGGGTCTTCCCACCTCACTTAACCTAATCAAGATAATCCCTCACAGGCATTTCCAGAGGCTTGGCTCCTAGGTAATTTTAGATCCTGTCAAGCTGACAATATTAGCTACTACAATGAACAAAATACAATATACATATGTATGAATTTGTCAAATAATTAAGTTCTTAATTTACCATCCTAAAATGTACAATACAGTGGCATTTATGCATTCTGCATTATACAACCATCACTGTTCCCTAATTCCAGAACATTTTCATCACTCAAAAAAAAAAAAACACCCCAAACCTATTAAGTGTAAACCTCCCCACGTTCTTCCCTCTCCCAAGCCTTGGCAATCACCAGCCTGCTCTGTATCTAGGGATTTGCCCATCCTACATAGTTTACATAAAGGAATTATACACTCTGCATCTGTTTCCTTTCACATAGCATAATGTCTCTGAGATCATCCATGGTGTGATAGGCATCAGCACTTCATTCCTTTCATGACTAAGGAATATTGCATTGTACAGACACACCTCATTTGATTTAGCAGTTCATACATTGATGAATATTGAGTGGTTCCCACCTTTTGCTCTTGGGAACAATGCTTCAAAGAATACTCAGGTCCACTGTTCATTGGAGGGGGACTCTGTTTTGATCGCTTTGCATCCCAAACCTGCACATGAAAGGGTTCAATATATTTTTAATATTTTATCTATTATTTTTATTTTATTTTGTGTCCATCAGTGTGTCGCCTGCATGTATGTAAGTGCACCTGTGTCACGCAGCCTATGGAGGTCAGAAGAGGGTGTCGGATCCCCTGGAACTGGAGTTACGGATGGTTGTTAGTCATCACGTCAGTGCTGGGAACTAAACCCGGGTCCTCTGCAAGAATAGCCAGTGCTCTTAACCACTGAGCCATTTCTCCAGCCTGAAAGGGTTCAATATTTAACAGCTGTAGACAGCTTAGTCTTCCACTAAATAAGTAAAAGGAAGAGTTTGGCATCTCATCTCCTCTCAGCTCCTCCATCTGCCCTCCCTGCCATAGTTGCTGTGGCAGAGAGCCCTGTGTGCATGCTCTCCAGCACTCTACCCTGTGTCCTGAGTCAGCCCTATCTGGCTGATAGGCAGCCTTGGCCACCCATAAAACAGCACTCGCTCTGCCATTTTGAACTTTCACTCAGCAAT